AACCTCTAAACTAAATACTCCATAAATGTACATCAATTCAAGAATCTCACTGAAAAAAAGGTAATCACTTAAATACTCATTGGATAACACGGCATATATATCATACAAAACATTATGTAAAAAAATATTATGGCTGAAGTTTTTGGTAAATGAAAATTTTGTACTATTGTATAAATCTAAAATAAGAGAACTAAATCTAAATGAGGTGGTAAGTTTTCCTCAAAATAATTTGCAGTAACAATCTCACAATTCAGAAACCGACCCAATACAAGAATGCATAACTAATTTATTCATTCACTGGAAAGATAGAACAAAGGTAGGCATTATATTTATATAATTTTTTTTTTAGTAATACTTTATATCCAAAGTCATACTGAACTCTAGTTAATTCGAAGTCGAGCCATATTAGATATCATAAAAAAAAAAATTCTCTCAACGCCTATTTCTCTATTTACAATATTTAAATTCAAAATTTATTTAAGGAGAATCGAATTTCTTTTATTCAAATCAATAAATAATTAGGACATTATATTTATATAATAACAAAGAGTAAAATAGCTTTAATTTTTAATTTATTTAATATTATAGTAGTAACATTTATATTTGAATTTCTCTAAATTGGAACTACAGTATTATTTCAAGAAATGTTATCTTAAAAGTGCAAGACACCGTATGTTGATTGGGTTTTTTATTCTCTAGAAATTTTTAAATTTAAGACAAAAGTTGATGAGGCATAATGTTATCTTATACTACTTTAAAAAAAAAAACCTTTAATATTTAAAAATTATATTAAATTTTAACTAATTCAAAATTATATTACGTCAAAATCTATAAAAAAAAACTCTTTTAACATCATTTTCTTCATTTATAAAATTCAAACTTAAAATTTTAATTAAAAGAACTCTTTTTACTTAAATTAATAAATTATTGATATTTTATACTAATACCATATTTAATAAAACTTCATAATATTTAAATTTGTGTACCAAACAAGCGCATGTGTACTTGAAAGTTTGAATCCACTGCCAAGTGCTAAATATGTGTCAGCTCCCAAGCTTATATATATATAAAAATATTTAAACTATATTAAATGGTTGCTTGATTGATGTGGAGTCTAAACTCTAAAGAGCTAAACTACAAGTTAAATTATATAATATTTTTTAAATTTTATTTTTTTTATACGGTAAAGATTAAAAATTAAATTTTAAATTTATAATAAAAAATATAAATAGTTATATTATCAAACTTTATGATTGATGACTTTTTAATAATCCATGATATTAAGCTTAAATTATTGTTTGTATTTATTGGTGCCCATTTTGAGGTAAAAAGTTTTGATATGATTTTTGGATGGTTGCGAAAAAATGGATTGCAGCACGATGCTGACAGAGCTCAAGTTAGTCTAGGATCAAAGAATGAGAAACTTGAGATGGCCAAATGCTAATAACAAAGCAAAAAAGAAAAAAAAAAGAAAAAAAAAGAAGAACATTTCATTGTCATAGTAGATGGTACCATCGTGGATTAAGCCCCATTATATCTGTCCTATTGTGCTAATCAAGAATTATCTTAAGAGCTAATTATTCAATTATTTAATGGCTAGATTAGTTTAATTGCGGCCAATGGTGAAGAAGGTGCCACGCATGAACATTAGAAAGTGGAATAAGTTCATTGGATGAGGTCAATCCTTTTTAAGCGTTTCTTCTCTTCTCTTTTTCTTTTTCTTTTTCTTTTTTTTTTTAGTGCAAATGGAAAATTTCATTTAACAAACAAAATTAATAGAATTTGGTCCGATACACTAAACAATCATCTTGATTATGAGAAAAACAAGAAACACAAAATACAGGAACAAAATTAATAAGAACAAAACATTTCTCCATTGATACATCAACCGCTCTATATTTAAAGTATTTGGCAAGTGTTTCTCTTTTTCTATCTGCATATATCCACCTCTATTGTGTAAGGGGGGGTTTTTTTTTTTTTTTTACTGTGTATTTAGTAAGAGTGCAATTAATGTATAGTATTTTTAACATTAATTTATTATATAGAAAATATAAAAATTTATATCGATTTAGAATTGTTTTAATTGAACAATTAATTAAATAAAGATCAAATTTTTTTTTTATAAAAGTGTAGTTATATTAATAATCCAAACAATTACACTGTAGACTATAACTCACTATATAAGTTATGCAAAAAATATAAAAAAGTTAGGAATGATCTATAATACTAACGTAAAGAGCTATTACTCGTTACAAATAAGACAATTAAACACTAAAAGCCTTTAAATATCAATATACATTATAAGCACATCAATAAAGTTATGTAAAAATATGAAAAGATTATTTGAGTTTTCTATTTATAGTTGGCAATCACATCTATTTTAATATCCAATCCTTACATAGGAGATTAAGGGACTTCCAATGTAGCGTCTCTCAACACTACAATGCTTTGTCTAGACTCAAATTAATGTCTAACCCACAGAGAGATGAAAAATATTCACTTGTATTGCCTCTCTGCAATGCTTGAGTCATCTAGCGGAACCTTTGGTGGCCCTCCATCTTCAAATTCTTCTGAAATCAACTTCCTCTTTTATTCAATGATAGAACAAAACCCCTTCTTATTCTATCCAAGGTCTTTTGGAGGACATAGTCTTTCCCTTTTGCTATTTTGGCTAGATAGCGAAAAGACATATCCTCAGGGATGAAGGCCAACACTTGCCACTCCAAGGACATTAAATCATCAATCTTCATATTCGAGTATGCTATTTCATGCACTCATTGTGATCTCTGCCCCTCTCTTGGTCAAACATGGTTAGCGATTAGAGGAATTGTACCACACACTCAAATTTGGAATGGTACAATTGAAAGAGGGAGGGTGTTCTGTGGCATAGAAGGTGGGAGTCCATAAGCAACCTGTATTACCTCAAGAAGGAAGAAAAGAGGAGGGGGGGCTCCTAACGAAAGGAGAGCAGTGGTGAAGCTATGAAATATTTTTAGGGGAGGCAAAATAAAATTTTGACTGAAAAAGATGACTTTGTGTGTCAATTTGAAAAATAAAAAGAAAATATTTTAAATAACATTTGTTAATTTTTAATGATAAATTAATAATAGTTGATAATGTAATATACAAACCATTAGTTGAAAGATAAAACCAAATATATATTAAGGCTTAGTTTGGAAGTACTAACTTATAACTGCAGTTATTAGTTTTTTTAATTTTTTTAATATCTTAAAAATATATAAAATATTTAATATTTATTTTGATTAATATTTTATAAACTTTTTAAAATAGTAAAAATATATAAAAACTAAAAGTTAAAGTATCGAGAAGTATTATTAAACAAAATCTAAGTAGAATAATATATACCATAAACAAAGAAGATGAAGTAAAGATATTAATCAACAAATACTTGATAAAAAATAACAATAAACAAATTTTATTCAATTAATTTTTAATTTTTCTCATATTTTATATTATCTTTATTTTCTCCATCTTTCTCTTTATCATTAAAAGTAATCTTCAACAACATAAATACTAAGAAATGATTAAAATGTGAAAGGATAAAAATGATAAAATAAGGCATAAGGGACCAAACTAAATTTCTTACAAAAGTTTAGGGAGGCCCATGACTCCTCAGCCCCTTGGTTCCGCTAGTGGAGGAGAGAATCCAAAGTGGAGAGTCTAATCTACCCCTGACTAGGAGGCAGAAACTTAATTTTTATTTTTTAATATCAATTACTATTTAAAAATATATATTAATTACACCTACGGCCCATGGTAGAAAAACTCTTCATATAATCATAGTTTTTTTAATCTCTATTCAATTTGACCTCGTGCATTAGAAATGTTAATTAAAACTTCACAATATTATTGTTATGAGCCTGAGTATGGTATGTAATGCATACTTGACATATAAATTCCTTTTATAGGCAAGCTACTTGGCTCTCCTTCTGATTCATTAGTGCTGTGGATTTGCCTCTTGAATAAAAAATTGGAGATTCAGTATGGTGATCGCGTAGGTTTAGCATTTAGTGTTGGACGGGTGTCGTTAATTAAGACAATAATCTTAGTAAGAAAAGCAAATACAGAAAGAGACTGGCTAAAAGACAGGGAAAAAGGATCCAAAGCCTAATCAGCTTGCAGCCTACAGATGTGGAATCACCTTGTTAAAAAACCATGATCTTGGTTAAAAATGAAAACTCAAAACCCCACTAATTATTGTTTTAATTGGGGGAGAAAGATTTGCACTTACATGCATCATGGAGGTGAAACAGCAGGGGAGAAATTTATTCATAAAAGAAAACTCAAAAGGACTCATTTACCTAATTTGCCACTTTTTTTGGAGTGCACATGAGTGATGGGATGGTTCAAAAAGTTGGCGAATAATAAAGGGGAATAATGGGAAATGGGATGCTTTTTTAGTTTCTAGACTTCTAAAAATCATATGAATTTGCATATTTTAGTTATGGATCTTGTAAGTGCTTGAGAATGTTCCTTGGATTATACCATTGGATTCTCCTCCTATGTTGAGCTCTTCTAACGTACCACTCGAGCCAATAGGAAAGTGAGAGAGAGTGAACTGATCAAATCACCATGGAGATTGAGGCTGTGAACTAGTTTTGTAATCATATATGCTTTGGTTAAGAAATCAACAGAAAGTGGTAAGGGAGGAGATCACCCTATTATGCAAATCTGACTTAGCTTTCTTTTTTTGTCTCATTCACGTTACCATTAGGAAAAGACCTCCTAATTACATATAACTCGATGAAAAGAGACCTCAGTTGGCTTTGTTAGAGAGCTAGAGAGGAAGTAAAAGAAAGGTTTTAAGTTGTGAGAAGTGAAAGGTAGGTATACCTGTTGAAGCCTTCTTAAGGGTTGGTATTCTACTTCTAACCTTCCTTAACTTTGTCCATAAAATGTGTACTATATAGATTAGAAAGGCTTCTAAGCTAATTGGATATGTCAGATGGCCAAAACTGTTGCAGCCTTGACAAAAATGAAAAATCTTGCTATATGTAATGATTTCACAAGAGGCCTAAATTTGACTTATAAGCATACTAACAAGATAGAAAAAATAAATAAATAAATAAAAGATGATTTCTTTTTTACTATTTAATGTACTAAGTTAGCAATCAACGGCATTTAATATAAGATTGAGCATTAGGTATGAGTACGTCCATTAATTACAAGTACTTGGCCTTTTGTGTAAGTGTCATATTTGAATTATAGAAAAAATAGGTAAATAATAGATATGAAAATAACATATTTATAAGTATTAAGTCATTTAACAAATATAGGGCTTTAGAATTGTTTACCCGATCTATAAACTAACTTGTTTGACTAACTTATTATCTATATTTATATAATTAAAATCTTATGGAACTTATTACCTTTAATATTTATGTAATAACAATAATTTTTACAAATAAAATAAAAAAATGGAAATAAAAGTTAAGAAGGGCCTATAAGTCAAATAAATTACACACGTGATAATAGCAACTCATATAAATAATAAACCACAGCTAAACATATAATACATGTAATAATAACATTTTATATTAGGCTTTTTGTTTTGGTAAAATACCAATTTTGGTCCTTCAATTTCTGAGTTTTATGCAATTTTTATCTCTAAATTTTTTATGCACATTTTTAATCCCTCAACTAGTCAGGTTAGATGTCGAGTATAAATTCTTAAGTAAATAAGTATACATCCACATTTTACCCCGTATTTATAGAGTTAAATGCCAAATATAAGTTTAAATACGTTAATTATTTACATAAATATCAACTCTAAAAAACTCTATCTAAAAATTTTCAAATTAAATATCAAATACAGCTCATCCTCAACTCCTGCAAATGCTCACTCCAGTTCAATGAGGTAATGATGCAAAAAGCCCAATGATAATATAAGTCCACTTACTAGATGAAGGAAAAGGCCAATGAAGGCCCAAAAATCCTAATCCTCTGGTCTGGGCAACCAAAGCCTGGAGCCCAAAAAAGCACACAAAAGATAGAACCTAACAAAATCCCATCTGCAGAACTCAATCACCACCCATCGCCATGGCTTCCTTACTTTCTCTCCCCAATTTCCTCTCCTTCCTCTTACCCTCAACCTCATCACCACCACCCAAAACTCCTCCGTCGCATGTCTCCCTCACTGCCTCAAAACCCAAAACTTCCTTCTCAATTTCTGCCCAAGATGATGATTCCTCTTCCTCTCTGTCCCCAGAACTGTCCTCTGTCATATGTCCTTCTCTTGCATATGCAAACACCCTTTTCTTCAAATCTGCATACAATGTCCAGGTGATTGTAGAGGAGAATGAGCCCGAGGAGAGGCTGCTTATCAGATTCAGAAGAGAGGTCATGAAAGCTGGGGTAATTCAAGAGTGCAAGAGGAGAAGGTTCTATGAGAACAAGCAAGACAAGCAGAAGAGGAAGTCCCGTGAGGCTGCTAGGCGTAATCGTCGAAGGTTTGCTGCACTTTCGAAATTTATTTCAATCTTTTGTTTGTTTACTGAGAAAGTTTAAGGGTGAATGAAGAATTTCAGTTGGATTAAGACAACTTGATTTGACACAATTAGCCTATTTTGGGTGTGGAAAAATGAGCTCAGACAGACTTCGATTTAGACTGAGGATTAGGCATTAAAAAATTTTTGGACTTTGCCTTCAGAACTTTGCTGCTATTGTTCACATTGTATTCTGGTACATTATCTTGTTGAGATTCTACGCTGTTAGTGAAATATCAACACTACAACAAGAAATGCGAACTTTTCAATTCTTTGGTTTTGTTGTTGACAGTGATTATGGATCCTGATATTCTTTCTTGCTTCATGACCAGGCGTCCTCAGTCAAGAATCTCACAACAGAACAGAGAGGAAGATTCTGCAACAAAGGAGGATGAGGATGCAGAAGATAACTGGGAACTGCCAGAGGGAGACCTTCCCTATTAACCTCGTTTTCACAGATGCCGTTTACTTTGTAGTTTCATCCAACTCTTCGCTGTTGATTATTTGAAGGTTTTTTTTTTTTCTTCTTATAAGTTGCATTAAGTGAATCCCTTTATTTGAATTCCAAATTTGTTATTTATATGAAGCAATGCAATGTATCTTCTTCCTCAGTTGCCCAAATCAATGATCTTTTTTTGGTTTTTTTTTTTTTTT